CTGGCAGCAATGGGCTGGATAATTAGCCAGGAATTAGGGTTTCTATTACAGCCAGGAGGCTACTCCAGCTGATTTATCACCTGAATAATTTACTGTGATTGAAAGGAAATTAAAACGAACTCCATTTGACAACTGTGCACTTTTATGGGCTTCAGTGAAGACTCAAAAGCCAAATTAATAGCCTCGTGTTGCTTAATAGTCTACTGAGAGTAAATATGGGAAGGTTTTTCCTCTCCCGACATGCTTTCTTAGGCTGGATTTTAGAGTTGGTTTTGTTTTTGGTGTTGTTTTTTTTTTTTTTCTTCCCACCAATGAAGCCATAGCCTGAATCAGAAGTTGTTTCAGCTGATAGAAGAGGAGCAGTAAAAACTGCAGACCTGCCTTCCAAGCCACTTTTTGCTCCACATTTTCTTCTGCTCAGAGATATGCTCCATATTTTTCACTGTTACTGAAAAACGTGTAGTTTCGGGAAGAAGTAAATAAACAGTGGCTCTACTTTTCTTGTTACAACTTTCAGAGTAATTTCAGAAAATCCTCAGCAGCACCGTCCACCCAGACACGGTTTCCCTTAGGAAGAAAACCATATTAATTTAATGCCAGAGGCCAGGAGCAAGGTCCTACCTCTCATTCCTTCCTTCTGCTTCTCTAATGACTTTCTGAGTAAATGAGTCAAATCAAAAAGGAAACGTAAGTCCTGAAAAATAAGCCCTACTTTCTCCCCTTTCTCTTGGACACTCCCTGCTATTCCTGGAGATTAAAATCCCATGCTGTAGGAAGCACTGTGCATCTCCCTGCATGCTCCTCCTTCGGTCAGCTCAGCTCCTCCATTACAGCACTTTCTGAGGTCAATCAAATGTAACTAACTGTGCACAACTTCTTTACTCTTTCTGATTTACTAGTAATTCTCTCAGGGGTGTTGGATACGCAGTGAATTCAGCTGCCTGTATTTATCTCCAGGCTTAACAGTACTGCATCTCACAAGTGAATCTTGTGCTTCATGTTTGTCAGGTTAGCTCCCACCTGCAGTATCTCTGTATCATTCAGAAACGAATTCAAAAAGAGATGATCAATTTAGTTCAAGCTAAAAGTAATGTGAAAGCATCAGCAAAGACCAGGGAATTATCTGCTATTACCAGCAAGTTGTTCTCTACTAATTCAGTGACCTACACAGCGTTGAACCTGGTCACATCATGTTATGCCTCATTATGGCCCCGATCTAAAGTCTGCTGAAGTCAATAGAAATATTGACTGGCTGATGTGTCGGCTGCATGGTGCTGCTGGTTGATGCTCGTGAGCAGAATGCCATCGCAGCGATGGCACTGCAAACACACACCTAACCTGCAGCTCAAAATCATTTCCCAGAAATACGCCAGTGTTCTGCCAACGTTTGCAGCCAGTGCGAATCAATTGTGGGCTGTTTGCAGAAGACGAGCACAAAAGGGGACAAAAGTGATGGAAAGGCATTCATTTAATCATCAATTACTGTTCATAGCAGGATTCTTCTGGGATAGAGAAAGGCCAGAGTGCGCCTATCCCCACATTACACGCCAGGAACACGTAGATACCGATGGACTCAGTTTGCAAGAGACCTCCCCCTTCCCATCTCACAACTTCTTGACATCACCAGCATAGCATTCACCTGCCATTAAATGTTTATCATGCACTGCACGTGTGGGTATTACGTGTCAGTGCTGCAGAGTGCACTCAGGTACACGTACAGCTGTATCACTGGGTTGCACGATGAGACACACAATGCCCTACTTCCATCCCCTGATGCATATATCCTGACAAATCTTAAATTATATGAACATATGGCGGGATCCCTGCCTCACTCTATGCCTAGAATAGATAGAATAGACTTTGTGTCTGAATGAAGTACCATCGACCATTGTATTCTCTTGTCATTGCTTTTCCTCTCAGCACTGCAACAGCCTGCAGTCAGAGGTAAGTATTCATTCCTCGTGGCCTTCTTTGTCTTGGTCATCTTTTACAGCAGATATGAAAACTCAGATTGCCAAGTGCACAGCATGTTTGGAAGTAGGAGCTCACCTGCAGGTCTCCACTTCACAGAGGTGAGCTGAAGAACAGCAACATTAAAAACAGAAGAGTAAAGGAAACAGAATGGATGCACTCAAAGTAAAGGCTTCAGCAGTGGTGAGCAGGCATTCTCACTTAGGACACCTGCTTACGTAAGTGACAATCCACAGTTTCCAATAAACAAGCCCAAAACTCCCAGAAAATAAATCAGAAAGAATTCAGGCAACAGATGCCAGTGTTCAGCTGGGGGCAGAATGTGTTCGGACTGCAGACGTTCAGCTATGTGGAATGGACTTTGTTCCCTCACAGCACTGCTCACCCTGACACAGGGACTGTGCCCAGCTCACAGAGAAGAAAAATTAGAGAAGAACAGGGAAACAGAGAGAAAAAGATACTTTCTTGTCTAAAGAAACGTGAGTTTTCCTGTAAAGTACCTGGAGCCCTCTCCAGGTGACTATCACAGGCACATCAAGAAGTTTTTGTGCCTCAATGAAATCAGCAGTGTTCCATTTGCTCCTTCTGTATGTTTCTAACACAGCAGATAGGCAGTGGATCAGCACTGCTGTCAGACTCTCCCCACGTCTTTATGAGGGGCATCTTTTCCTTATTTTCCTCTTCAGAAACAGGACTCCATGCCTCCATTGCTGACCTAGTTCCTAACACGCCGAATTCTGAGTTCAACCACATTCTGGACTGACAGATTCTGAATGCAGATCACAGTTCCCTACAGTCATTAATGGGAGAGACAGCTCTGGTTTTCCAAGTCACCTGGTAATGCTTCCATCTTCATCTAGTGAAAGGTGTCCCTGCTATGGTCTGTGCATTGGAATTAGATGATCTTTAAGATCCCTTCCAACCCAAAACATTCTGTGATTCTAGGATTCTATATTTTCCTTCCAATTGATTATTTTGATCTCACTAATTGGTCCAGACAGCCTCTCCACTTTGGTTAAGTTTCGTGACAGCTTTGCTTTACTACCAAAGAGGTTAAACACGACTGCTTACTAAAGCAGTGGAGTTCATATCACATCCTTGAGAATCAGACATTTCTGTTAATTATGCATGTTTCATTATATGTTGAAAATGTACTTTGCATGCCACCAAAAAGCAAATCCCATTTCGAACAACCACGAGCCCTTAATCGTAGCCAAAGCTTCCAAAAGCAAATGGGAATGTTAAAGCAGATGACTAGCAAACTCCATTTGTAATTAAAAATGCCTAAGCAAAGCTATCCTGCTGAGGACCTTTCGTATACTACAATATCTTTTTCTCAGAAATACGTTTCTCAGCATCTGTTTGTCTTCTCAGCCTGTGCAGAAAGTGCCCTTTTTACCTGATCAGTAGAAGCATATCCCCAGACTTGATGCTCTGGTTGCACAGCCATTCTAGTTACAACTGCTTATACAGGTCCAGGGAGATCCTTGCTCCAGCAACAGCTGAATATCCCTGGATATCCTGAAGCCAGCAGGCTTCAGAAGCACGCTCTTTTAATTCTTCTGTTCTGTCTATTACACCATCTCTTTGTGTTCACGTCTGGGCTGCATCCCATGAGCTACAGTTCTACATGACTCAGAAACTTTAGAATACAGAGAACCAAGGAAGGGTCTTTTTCTGGGATATAAAAGCTAAATAGAGGCAGATCTAGCATCAAGCATCTTTGAAGTGACCAATACTGAAAATGCTTACTGTAGTAGGAAGTGGATCGGTGCCTGTCCCCTCCATTATCCCTGGTGTTAAGGATGGGATAACCACCATCTAGTGGTATGTGAAGGCCATTTCACCTTCAAAAGATGCTGCTGGCTTGCCTTTCCTAATGAGCTTTTTTAAAGAAAAACTGAATTGATTTCAGCGTCTCCCTCATCTTTTTTCCAGACTGAATTTAGATTTACAGGGTTCACAAATATAAACCAGGGAAACCACAGAGCCAGCAGAAACTGGTAAAAAATGAATGACAACAAATGACAGCGTGTGTGAGCTTAAGGGCACGTGGAACTTCTACTCTACCACTCCACATAAGGAATTTTTTCTCTAGTTACAGCAGTACATATTCCTCTGGAGTCACAATGGTGGCCTTGTTCCTGATACTCTCCAATGTCTTTAAAATGTTTAGGCTCCTCTAAGGGAAACCACTGTTTGTTTGCAGTTCGAGGAGTTCAAACACCGTGCCAAAACTCAGATTTAATATTAATAACACTGGAGATTAGCAATGACTAATTACACTGCTAAATATAGAAAATGCAGCAAGCCTGGCCTGTGTTGGACCTGACAGCCACACTTTGGTTTCTATGCCCTATGATTGCAGCTATATTTAAGTCTGAGGCCTACAAACAAAAAGCATGTTAAGAAGCACAGCTAATTTTTTTTTTGTTTTATTTTTACTTCTGCACAGCGTCTGCTAAAATAGAACTTTCCCTCCCAAAAAAAAAAAAAAATCGTGCAGAATCTTTTAAAATACACTGCTTGTCTGTAGGTGCAACAGATTTACCTTCACATATTAATTGGGTGTTCCTCTCTGCAAATGGCCAATTACATGACTAATAAGCCATTTCCAGATATAAAAAAACTAATTTGCGTGCGCAATCAAGCTAACTATGGGCCAAAATTAGGCATAGAGTTTTACAAGTCTGTTCCTTGTTTTCTGCAGCCTACTTTACATCCAACAGAAATATCAGAAGATGTGATGCTCCTCATGCCCTCAGTTGATGCGACTGGCCTAGATCAGGTGTAATTTCATATCTAAACACATGCTAGCCTTTATACAGCCAATGTTTTATGTCATTTCTTAATAGTCTTCCATGGTCAACATGCTCCTGGCTGAAGAGCTTGATATGACACCTCTTTCTCCATGTTTTTCTACTGCACATTTGAGAAATAATTTTTTGTTGTTTTCCGCTAAAGAGGCCTCTGCCATCAGAAAGCATATCTGGAAAGAAAGAAAAAAAGTTTAATGTTTGGAACAGTACCTGCTCTGGTTTGATGGGCTCTGTTGTCGTGAAAATGTCAGAATAATGCTGCCTCTCGAAGACTCGATCCAGCACTTCCAACTGCTGCTGGGTGAACAGGTCTCCACGCATCTGTTTCCGAAGAAAATCTCTACCCGGGAGAGAATGGCCATTGGGTACTGGAGGTTCCTGAATACCTTTCAAAGAGGACAAAGAAGAACGAAGAATAAATAGGCATTAAAATGACGAGTGTCTATTTTATCCATCGTATAGGTGTGGGTGCTTCCTTGCTTACACAGTGAAGAATCATGGGCAGGAGTATAGGAGCAAGACGCATATTGCCAAAGGATGCATTGATCATTCCTCCATTATAGCAAACTCTCAATGCAACCCACCATCAGTGACTTCACATATAACTCAAAGGCATGACAAAGGGTGGAGTCACATGTTCGTTCTCAACACTGTCGCGCAATATTTGAGAACCTGCAACGGTCAAGCTGCAGTAAGACATAGGAAGGTAAGTACAAAACCTGATCTTAGATCCGCAGCCAACTTGGATCAGCTCCGAGCAAGTCTGCTTTGCCTGCTCACTGTCCATAGCTGTGCCTGTGATACCTGCCCGTCTGGCTGAGCTCCACTCTACGCAAAGGTTTTGAGCTACCATGTGCTCAAGGACTCGCACTCCAGGAGCTTGTTCAGACTGCAGAAACTGGACAGTCAATTCTCCAAACAAACACTAATAGCAGCATACTGAGACGGGATGTCCCTGGGACTTGGAGTTACCACTGCGACACTCTGAGGAAGCACTCTCCCAGCTAACAATACTGCTTAGTTGTAATTTCACTTTACGTTTCTTAAACTCACTGACATGATGGAAGCCTGGGCTCTAAATCAAATTTTCTCTCTCTGTCTCCCCTTCCTTCCAGCAGAGGTTGTTAACAGAAGTAGTAAGTGGCTGCTCATGGCTTAGAAAGCCATGAGACAAGTTTGAAAAATGTTTAGATAAGCAGTTAAAAAAAAAAAAAAAAAACTCTTGCAATATGGGAGCTTGATTCAGTTTGCTTTATTGCAGATTCACAGTGGTTTCCTATCTTTCCTTCATCTGTCAGTGCTAGAAATACATCTTTCATGTTCTGAAAGCAGAGATATGCAGTATTCCTAAGGGCTCCAGGAGGTGGAACTCCAACAACAGCAGTAAACATCAGATTTTGTCTCCAGATAGCAACACACTACACAGAGGAAGGAAGCATTTAAGAAAAAAAAAAACAAAAAAAAACCCTTCAGATTTGTTTGCATGCAAAAACCCATACTTAGATCTTCTTTGCTTGGTTCCGCATCACAGTTTCTGATAGCAAGCATCAAATGGCATCTGTGCAAAAAGACCACACTGCTGCCAACACTTCTCCTGTCTTCATACATGAGCTGGCCATCAGCAACGACTGATGTCCAGCAGACAAGATTTTCCAAAAAGAACAACTGATTTGAGGTCATCTTTTAGCACAGCTGAGTGTGGCAACAGATGTCGTGGACCACATCCAGAAAATCTGACTCTTTTAAGACAGGTCTCCAAAACTGAAGGAACAATACATAGAAACACTTCTTAAAATCCAAGAAACACTTCTTAAAATCCAGATCAACCTCTATAAAGTTTTCTTATGCTAAACAGGCATTTGAAATTAGCAAGTAATGCTGGAAACGTTCTTGTAGATTTTCTTTGGATGGTTCAGGTAACAACAGTGTTATATTTACCTATTTAAGTGAAGTTAGGCAACTTAAATCAAGAACAGGCAATGTTGGCATCTGTAAAGTGCTAGGATCAGTTTAAACCATGCAGAAAAAAACATGAGCCTGTCTTCTAACAGAATGTATAAAGATACGCACAGAGGTACGAAAAAATATAAGCAGATATAAGAGAGCAGTGTAACTTTAAATCTTTTTTTTTTTTTTCTTTGCTATTCTAAATCAAATAATATCTAATTGATGTAGCGCTGGGTTTAGTCAACCATCACTTATAAAATTAAAATTCTAGTTGCTAGCTGCTTGGTAGCAAAAGGCAGGGGAGACTTTCCCTCTGGAGCATGAAAACACAGGCTTTAAATTTCAGGTGGAATCATAGAATGGCTTGGGCTGGAAGGGACCCCAAGGATCACCAAGTTCCACCCTCCCTGCTGCAATAATGTTGTTTAATTCCTCATTTGGCATCAAAGTTGAAGGTTTTTTACAGTTTTGGCCCAAAGCAGGCAATAAAAGGGAATGATCCAAGAGCCTAGTACTACCTGCACAACCTTCCCTCTGACTCTAACACAGTTTATGCATTGTCTATACATCTAAAGACGAGGTGTACGATGAGACCAGATTGTATTTGCATACAGTGCAGCAGACTTGTGTTTCACAAGCAGCCCTTGTTCCACAAAGTGTTTGCACGGAGCACAGCTCTGCTCTTTTCCCAACGAATGCATTTGGAAAAGATGGATTGATGGACACAGCAATGATAGGACAGGGCAGGCACTAGCAGGTCAGTCTCACTGCTGGGTGCTGTGCTGTCATCTCTGCCCCTAAGGCTTCTGATTCACAAATATCTTGTGAAAAGTTTGGGAAAACACACTATCAAGTGCCAGCATCTCTGATCTGGTCACATCCATCCCAGACAGCACAAGCAGGAGACCACCTAGAAGCCAGCCATGAAAGTTTAGGAAGAGGAGGGCATTTCCAAGGAAGTGGTAAGGTATGGAAATAAATGAAGGGAGTAACTTTGGAAGGTTTTGAAATTCAAGATCAGGATTTGATATCCTGCTGGGAGTGCAGCCTGAAGAGGAAACCGCAGAGAACTGCCTCCAAACACCAGTGTGTGATAAGGTCTCTGATGCCAACCCAAGGGTCTGGGGGCAGCTCAGCCTTCCAGCCATGCTTCCCAACAAAGTCCACTGTTGCTGAAATAAAGGAGCAGTGCATACATACTCTGCTGTTAGGGGAAAAGCTGGGCAGAAAGCAGGCAGAGCTGGAACTCGTGGAACAGCTGGCTGCTGTTCCAACATTCCAAAGCTGGATCTCCAACAGAAGATCCAACATTTATGTCATGAGGGTTTGACAGCTGCCCAAGAAAGCTGCTCGCTTTCATAGAATCGTAGAATCATAGAATCACAGAATCATAGAATGGCCTGGGTTGAAAAGGAGCACAATGATCATGTAGTTTCAACCCCCTGCTGTGTGCAGAGTCACCAACCAGCAGCCCAGGCTGCCCAGAGCCACATCCAGCCTGGAAATTTCTCTATTCTCTCTTACCACATCCCTTCAGCAGAGGGGTTGTTCTTTCTCACTGCGTTTCCCAAACTCTGACTAGCTGCAGGCGACTGCTGGATCTCAGTTTGCAAGGAAAGTATGCTGCACACGGCATCTAAAAAGTTCACAAAGGTCTTTAGGATACGTTTGGCTTTTAGTCATTACGTAAATGTGAGATAATTACCATCAGCATTATGTATTGTTTGGATACATTACAACATCTTTGATAATTAAAATACCACAGGCTCATTTGTAACAGTTTCAGTTATAAAATGGGCTCCAGGGAGAGGTAAAACATTTTTCATACAGTCAGTGGATGCACCTAGGAGAGTTTTGTTCTGTTGACAGCAGCGCTACATGTGCACCTATGCACTCTGCAAAACTGTCCTATGGCATCTTTACAAAATGGCTAATCATAGAATCACAGAATGTCCTGGGTTGAAAAGGAGCACAAGGCTCATCCAGTTCCATGGGGTTGCCAACCAGCAGCCCAGGCTGCCCAGAGCCACATCCAGCCTGGCCTTGGATGCCTGCAGGGATGGGGCATCCACAGCCTCCTTGGGCAACCTGTTACAGTGCCTCACCACCCTCTGGCTGAAAAATGGATAATGAAGAGCACAAGTATCATAGTCTCCTTAGGAAAAAAGACTCTCACCCCAAACAAACGTTTTGTCCTTTACCAGACTATATTGATCCTGTGGGTCAGAATTGTCCCACAAGATCACAGCTTTCTGAACAACCCTGGATGCTATGCTATGCACTTCCCTACCAGCACAACACCAAAAGCCCTTTCCCATGCTTCACAGAAGTCCTGTTAGTCTGGGAGGAGTTCTGTGCAGAACTGATCCAGCCCTGGGAAGAGGTGCCACACACGGTGTTGCCAACAGAATCTGCCTAACCTGTACGGATTTCACCTGGAAGCACAGGGTCTTTGTTACTACAGTTTTATTCCTGGGGACCTAGCAAATGACAAGATCAGTATAGAGAACCTGATAAGCTGTGACTGCGTTTTGTAGCATAATTTTATGGTTAATTACCTTTCCTCAACACATTTTCTGAAACTGCAGGAGACATCCAGAATTGCCAAACGTGTCTACAACAGATTTTTTTTTCCCCAGTACTCACCGTGTAAATCATTCATTTTAAAAGTGTTTTGCTTATACATTGCTAGTATACCTAGGTCAAAATAAGAACAAATGGCTGTCATCCCTATCTTCACAAAATACTACAGCAAGTTTTGAGGCCCTACAGCTTAGCACTGACCAAGAAAAAAAAAAAAAAGGCCAAGTTTCAAGATATCAATTTAAAAAAGAAAGAAAGAAAAAGATCCGTTCTATCTGGTATTATTTCAGAGAAGGAAAACAGCACAGCTTAATTTCTGCCTGATGAATCAGCCCTGCAAAATAGCAGTGGATAGATTGTGCAGCCCCACAGAAGAATCTAAGCCAGCTGACAGCCACTAAGAAACTGCTGCCACGCACAACTTCAGCTGGAGTTATTTCCACTCTTATTAATCTTTACAATGTACCGTGGGTGGCACATGCTACTGGTACATTTGCCTGGTGTGAAGAAAAGAGAATCTTCTGGTTTCAGGCTTTCAGGTTGTTTTATTTTTTAAACAACTTGGGTTTGCAGGGTTAATTAAGGAAGTAAATAGCTGGTGCAATGAATGGCCCATATTCATAAAGGACGTGGTTTCTGTCTCTAATTTGTACTGTCCAATTTCATTACCTGGTATCATACCTAATTACTCCACCTTATAGGGAAATGCAGGCTAATTAGGAAGGATGTTATTCACCACATTTAAAACACGATGAAGCAAATGAAATATTACCGGGAGGTAAAAAGGTGATTTGTTTCCTTGTAGCATGTCTGTAAATTAGCCCGGAGAAGATGAAGACTTTGTTTAATTACCACT